GTGGGCCCCCCTGGCGTGGGCCTGCCGGGGCGGCGCCTGCCGGTGCTCCTGCTTCAGCACCCCTGTGGGGAGGGTGTGGGGGGGGCCGGACCTGCCTGGATGCCGCTGGGCCCCGTGGGGACCTGGGGAGGCACTCACCCCAGCACCCCCCAGGCGGTGGTGAGAGGCCTGCTTTCGCCCGAGGAGGACCAGCACCTACTGCTCTCCCAGTTCCGCGAGTACCTGGACCACGATGACCTCCGCTACCACACCATGCAGGCCGCTGCGGACGCCGTGGCCCGGGCTACTGACGGGCACCCTGAGGTGAGCACCCTGGGCCCTCCTGGGGCGGGTGGGCGCTGGGAGCACCCAGGTGCTCAGGCCAGGACTCCTGCAGGTGCCCCCTGCCTTCTGGGACAACACCTTCACACTGCTGTCCTCCGTGAGCCTGCCCCACCGGGACTGTGCTGTCAGCAGCTTCTACGTGAAGCGCACGGGTAAGTGCCCTGGCCGGGCAGGGGCTGGGCGTGTCCTGCTCACTGCTGACCTCCAGCTCCCTCCCCTAGAGCCGTCGGACAAGTGGAAGGTTGCACACCTGAAGGTGAGTCACGGCCTGCCTGCAGGTGGGGGGGTCCAGCCTGGAGGGGCAGGGCGGGAATGCCCCGGGCCTGCACGGCTGCCACCACACTCTCCTTCCCTGGAGACAGCCCCGGGACCAGGCAATAGCGTGAGGACAGGGTCACTCGGGCCAGCACCCCAGTCCACGGGCCTAGATGGCACTTGTGCGCAGAGGGAGGGAGGAGGGTGACGAGTGGGAGCAGACAGGACACGAGGGCCGCTCGCTCGTTGCAGGAGCACAGGAAGGCCTTCCAGGCCATGTGGCTCGGCTTCCTCAAGCACAAGGTAGGCCAGGCCGGGCTGGGGAGGGCTTGGGAGTGGGGGTGGGGGCTGCTGACCCTCCGCCCGCCGCCAGCTGCCCCCCAGCCTGTACAAGAAGGTGCTGATGATCCTGCACGACTCCATCCTGCCGCACCTGGCCCAGCCCACGCTCATGATCGACTTCCTCACCAGCGCCTACGACGTCGGTGAGCCCGCCAGCTTGGTCCGTGTCCCCGGGGGTGTGTGGCGCTGCCCGCCGTGGTGTGGGGCGCTAGGCCAGGGGCTGCCTGCAGGCGTCGCCCAGAAGCCAGGGCGCTATATCCTTGGGCGGGTGCAGGGGGCCGTGGTCCATGTCGTGGTCTCCTGCAGGGGGCGCCATCAGCCTTCTGGCCTTGAATGGACTCTTCGTCCTCATTCACCAGCACAACCTGTGAGTGGGCCCCACTCTGAGCCCTTCCCACGTCCCTGTGCCCTCCTTGCCCCGGGCTGGGGACACAGGATGGGGGCCTCTGGCCTGCCCGGTGAGTGGAGCCTGGCAGTCCCAGCAGGCCCCCGTCACCCACAGAGAGTACCCCGACTTCTACCGGAAGCTGTACGGCCTCCTGGACCCGTCAGTCTTCCACGTGAAGTACCGGGCCCGTTTTTTCCACCTGGTTGACCTCTTCCTGTCATCCTCGTGAGTGAGGGGGCACCCTGGCCCGGCCTGGGGCTGTGGTGGCACGGGGAGGGTTCTCACGCTCACCGCCCTGTGCAGCCACCTCCCCGCCTACCTGGTGGCTGCCTTTGTGAAGCGCCTGGCCCGCCTGGCCCTGACGGCGCCCCCTGAGGCCCTGCTCCTGGTGCTGCCGCTCATCTGTAACCTGCTACGCAGACACCCCGCCTGCCGCGTGCTCGTGCACCGCCCACACAGCCCTGGTGAGTCCCCAGGGCAGCCCTGGCAGTCTCTGGGGGGAGCGCTCGGCTTGGGGCCTGGCTCACGGGAGAGCCCCGTCTTGTTCCTAGAGCTGGACGCTGACCCCTACGACCCTGGAGAGGAAGACCCAGCCAAGAGCCGTGCCCTGGAGAGCTCACTGTGGGAGCTGCAGGTGAGCGCCCCCTTCCAGCCCCTGCCTACGGCTGCCTGGGGGTGACCAGAGGGCTGCGTGGTGGTGGTGGCAGTGGCGCTGCACCTGTACCTGCTCGGGCCTCGTGGTGGCTGGGCCTGCCCTGGTGTTGGTGCCAACGCCTCCGACGGCCCCGCCCCAGGCCCTCCAGCAGCACTACCACCCTGAGGTGTCCAAGGCTGCCGGCGTCATCAACCAGGCGCTGTCCGCCCCTGAGGTCAGCATCGCACCTCTCCTGGAGCTCACGGCCTTCGAGGTGAGGGCCCGGGGAGGGCGGCCGCATGTGTGAGCCCCTGTATGTTTCTCCGTGAGACCCCACACCCCTCCTGTCCTGTCCCTGCAGCTGTTTGAGCGGGATCTGAGGAAGGGGCCGGCGTCCGTGCCTCTGGAGTTTGTCCCGGCCCAGGGCCTCCTGGGCCGGCAGGACAGCCTCTGTACTCAGCTCTTCACGCTCTGCTGAGCCTCCCCCTGCTTCCCCAATAAACAGTTTTGTAGGAGAGTGGCTCCGGGAACAGGGCTTGGGAGGTCTGGGTGCCAGGGCTGTGCTCAAAGGACCGTGACGTCCTCTGTACCTGGCCCAGGGTGGCCAGCGCCTCCAGTGGCCTTGGCGTCTGGGTGTGGGCTGCTCCTCCCTGGCCCTGGGGCCCCAAGGGGTGGGCTACTGTGTGTCCCTGCTCGTGACCCGGCCGCCCCGCTCCAGACTGTCAGCCTCGTTCTGGGTCCAGTGAGGTCCGGGTGCATGTCGGCCTAAAGCCAGGTGGCCAGCTTCCCTTTTCCCTGAGTTTGTTCTCTCCACGAGGGGAGACACAGGGACCTTGGGGCGCAGGCCGAGGGCTCGCCTGCCTCCTGACCCTGAGTCGCAGGTATAGGCCCGAAGTTCATGGGCGGGAGTCAGGCAGGTGATAGCAGCCCTGTGACTCCAGAGGGCCTGGGGCACGGCAGCATTTCCCACCTCCGTGGGGACTTGGCTGCTCTGGACGCCCCGCCCTGCTTGGCCACCGTGGTCTTGGTCATCCCGCAGGCTGTGGGGTGGCAGGATCTCACGTGTGCAGGGGGTGCTCCTGGGGGCAGCATGCGGTGGGGACAAGGTGCCCTGCCCTCATGCCATCCGGGGGCAGGGCCCTGTCCCCGACCCCTGAGCCTCGGCGTCCCCACGGCCACACCCTTCAGGCCGGGTCTGAATGTGGTCAGGGTTGCCCACACGCACTTGCACAGGCATGCCCAGGCCGGCCCACGGGGCAGGTCCAGGAGGAACTCTGCTCCAGACCTTCACAGGGGCACGTGGCCTTAGCTGGCAGCTGGCGTGAGCCTTGTCCTAGGCTCAGCTCCCTCGGGCCCAGTCTCCAGCTGTGAAATGCAGTGTGGGCCCCACAGGCTCCCAGGGCTTGCCCAGGGCCTTTTGCCCAGCTTGGTGCTGTGGGCCTGGCCGGGCTTCTGCAAGGGTGCTGGTGGAGGCCACTGGAGGGCGCCAACCTTGGCTGGGGTTGGCTGGCTGCCCCAGCCTGGCCCACGGGCCATCCTCAGCAGGTCCTCCTGTGGCCTGGGCCAGCCACCCCAGCCCCCAGCACAGGTGGCTCCCTGCAGCCCCCGCTGGCTTCTCCGGGTGTGCGAGGCTGGGCACGCTTGTTCCTGTTCTGGTGTGCTGGCCCTGCCAGGCTTACACTGAGCTGTGTCACCCGTGACAACTAGAGTCAGACGTCCCCTGGGCCGTCACTCCCGATGTGGCCGCACTTCCTGGAAGGGTCTAGGTCCATGAGACAGGGTGGACCTGGCTCAGGACAGGAGCGCCAGGGTGCAGATATGGCCCAGTGCCAGCCTTGGGGACCTCTTGGGGAGCCGGCTGTGCCCAGGCCTGGTGCTCAGGCTGTCTCTCCAGGATGGACAGCATCTTCCCCATGGCTCAAGCTGACAAACCTGGGGGTAGAACATTCCACCCAGGCCTTAGCTGTTCCCACCGGCCATGATGGCCCCTCTGGGCAGGTCCTGGTGGATGTGACAGCTGAGCTGGCTGGGCGGGAAGGCCACTGGCAGGGGTCACGGACAGCTTCGGGTGCAGCAGGTAGCCCTTGTCCCAGCACGTGCTCTGGGCCAGCTCTTCCGGGGTGGAAAGTGGGGTCCTGCACTCCCCGGCCCAGACACGGCAGGAGACAGCCAGGTACCGGGGACGTGGAACGGAGTGGGGCGCTGCACCAGGTGGGCGGCAGAGGGCAGAGGCTAGGCTGCGGTCCTTGTCCCCACTGTCCCCATAGCTGTCTGTTCCACGTTACTAGGTGCCTAGGAGAGGGGGGTGGGAGGTCCATCGTGACCTCCCAAGTGAATCATCTCCGAGCAGCTCTACTCACTAAGTCATTGCTCTGTCCTGGGGGGTGTCCTTCATAGCTCTCTCTTCAAGGTCACCCCAGCCAGCCAGCAGCCGCACGGGCATGTCCAGTAGGGGCTGAGTGCCTGTCTACACTCCTGCCCTGGCACTGGGCCCACAGCCACGCCTCTGAGACTGGGCCTAGGCTAACTGAAACAGTCCCAGACGACAGGTATATGCGTGTGTTCGGGCAGCATTTGGACGTGCGAGGAGTGACCACTTGCCAGAGCTTAGCGTGGCCACCGGCAGAGGCCCACAGCTGTCCACCCTGCGGCTGCCTGGCCATGGCTGCCTGGCGTGGACTGTGGCTCAATCGACATGTGGCCTTGTCCTCTGTCCAGGAGAAGCTCTGGGCCTTGGGGTGTCAGGTCCAGTGGGCCGAGGTCATAGCAGACAGCCTGATGGCGGGTGGGAACGGGTTGTCCATGCAGCATCAGCTCGCCCTCCGGAGGGGCCAGGGCCCAGGGCAGTCCTGTGTGGCCCCGGACCCGGGGTAGGGCGGGCTCAGGCCGGCAGCCTGTGGTACGAGGAATGGGCGGGGGCAGCTCCTGCCCGCCCCAGGCCCAGGTCAAGCTTTTGTGTCCTTGAGAGCAGAGGCCGCCACCCCCGCTGGGGAGGGCTGGGGCAGTGCCATCTTTTTACGCTGAGCCCTTGGGCCTGGCCAGCAGACCCAGGAGGGGGTCACAAGGGGTCTTGCCCTGACTGGGTTTCAGGGGCAGGTGGGCAGGGCCATGCCCAGTAGCACACACGGACACAGCCACACGCAGGGCTGGAGAGGAAGAAACGCCATGGCCACTCCCGTGCAGCCAGGTTCCACAGCTGGGAGTGCCCCAAGCCTCCGCAGGTGCCTGGGGGCTGCCCGCTCCTGAGGGCACAGGGCCCCCTGCCTCCAGCGCTCAGGTGAGGCAGGGCGTGGGCGCTGAGAGGGGCCCTGTGACCTGAGGGGGATGCAGCGGGACGGCCGCCCCTGCAGGTCACAGCCTGCAGAGTAACTGCCTGCCTGCCTCGGGTCCCAGACACCCTGGTTCCGTAATCGGCGGAGGTGCCCTGGTCACCTGAGAGGCTGTGTTTCCTGAACACCGGCCATGTGCCGGGAGCCCCAGCTCACAGGGCCCCCCACCCCTTTTTTTTGTTTTAAACATTTATTTATTTATTTAAATTGGACCAGAGAGGGAAATTGAAAAGGCAAGTCACCAGGTCCAGGACTAAATTGTGGTCAGCCATGTGGGGTCCAGCATCCTTAACTACCACACCACCTGCGCCCCCGTTTTTTTTTTTTTTTTTCAAAGAAGTATTTAATTGTATACATTGTCATTATTATCATCACTATTATTATTATTGAAGTTGGCCAGAGAGAAGGGAAGTGAGAAAGCAGACTGCCAGGTCCGGGCCTCAAACTGCAGTCAGCCACGTGGGAGTCCAGCCACCTTGACCACCATGCCACCTGCTGGCCCTACCCTACCCTTTCCCTTTTTAAGAGAGAGATTTGCTATAGGTGCATGCTTGCCAGAGAGACAGAGACAGAAGGCAATATCTCCCCCTTGGGGTATGGCCTTGCTGCACACCCCACTCCATTTTCTTCTCTTGAGTTTCAAGCAGCCAAGTCCAGGGCTCAAACTGCAGTCAACCACGTGGGAGTCCAGCACCATAACCACCATACCGTCTGTGGTCCTCTTGTTCCCCCTTTCTCTGTCCCTGTCTCTCTCCTGCTGTGGCCCCCAGGAGGTGTGTGTGGCCGTCAGGCAAGCGACCACAGCCACACAGGTGGTGGGGAACGTCGGGTGGGCAGCCATGACCATGGTCCCGCAGGTGGCAGGGAATGTTGGCAGGGTGTGGACGCACTCGGGACGAGGGGCGTGCAGACATCTGATGGTTCCTAGCAATGACTGCAGAAGCGTAGAGGCCACTCGGCGTCTCCCGAGACGGTCCACGCTGCGGCTGGGGGCCAGCTCGCAGCTGGACAGCCTCGTTTCTGTGCACGAATTCCCCAGCAGCTTCCTAAGACCCCTCGTACCTGTGGGACTCGAAATGCATCAGATGGCACCTGGCGTCTCCCAGGAGGGCAGCCGTGTCATCTGAGCCACGGCACGGCTGTGCAGCCTGTGTTCTGGTGGTGTCTCGCAGGGTCCACACTGCTGCCAGGCTTTGAAAGCCACCGTGGGCAGGACGCGAGCTTCCCAGCATGGGTGGGACGGCATGCCAGGACTGTGGCCGACCCAGGGCCCTCCCGCACAGTGTTCTTGTGCTCGGTGGTGGGGACAGTCACCTTTGGGCCGGTTGGAGGCGGGGAGGTCTGTCGAATCCCTTTCCAGACACAGTTGTGGCTGGCTGTGGTGGGGAGGGGTGGCTCCCTGCAGCCTGATGGTCCTGCAGTCTAAGGGGGTCTGAGCCTGCTAGGCCAGGCAGCGAGGGGCCACCGAGACCCCTGGCTGCCCTCGCCGACGTGCGGTCCCGCCCGGCACCGTGGCCCTGCTCTCACCCCTCCTTCCATGTGGCGTGATGACCTCTCTGGTGTCTCGGCGACACTGCCATGAGCCAGGGTTCAAGGCCGGTCCCTGGCCAGCCGTGGGGGCCACAGGACCGTCCTGGGAAAGATGTGCCGATGGTGGCCGAGGTTAGCCCAGGGAGCTCGCCGCTGAAAGCCAGACCACATCGCCGCCTGCTCTGCACACGGCGAGGCCGTGGATTTGCCCACAGGCGTGGCCAGCTGCACGGCTCCCAGAGCAGGGAGTACAGTCAGCCCTGCTGCTGCACCTCTGGCTCCCAGAGGCACGGCCCCCACAGAGGGCTCTGATAAAGGACGTGCCGAGGGCGGGGCAGGGCCCACCCGCCTCGTGGGCATCTCGGCCTCTGGACATCTGGACCTCTGAGCAGGACTGGCTGGAAGGACCTCAGCTCCTCAGAGTGGCCCTTCAGTCCTCCCCAAGTCCCTCTCCCAGAAGGCCCATGGTGGAGGGCCTCCGACTTGTCCTGAGGCTTTGTGCCCCCCCTGCTGAGGATGGGGCCAGCAGGCCGCTGTCCTTCCCCAGCCCAGTTGGGGGACCCACGGAGTGACTTGGGGGTCCCATGGTGTTCGCTGAGCGCAGACGGTTGAAGTTGATCCTTTCAGAAGCCATACTGGAACTGATTTCAAATTAAATTTCTTTTCCTTCATCCCAGTCAATGCTCGAGGGCAAGTTCTAACAGAAGCACCAGGACTCGCTCCCTCGGGTGTCGGCTCGGCCTGCTCTTCGGTGTTGAGGGGACACCAGGGTGCAAACCAGCCTCCCATGCAGGGACAGGAAACCCTGTGGCAGTTACCACCTGGGTCTCTCCACTCTGGGCGCCCTGGCCCCCACAGTCCAGGGTGGCACCATCCTGCCCACCTGGGGAGCAGGAGGTCGGTGACAGCCAGTGGGAGTCAGCCGCAGGCGGGGCCCCTCGGCCAGGCCGCCCAAGGCCTCTGCCAGCTGCATCGGTCCAGGCACGCGCTTGATCCCAAGGGCCACTGGCCCTTCTAAGAACCAGCATCAGACAGGCTCCTGGCCGAGTTCACCCTGAGCTGTCGCCAGCACACTCCCGACCTGCGGTCTGACTGCCCTGGGTGCCAGGGAGCAGCCGTCACCCGGGCTATGGGAGCCTTGCCCTTCCCAGTTCCCGCCAGTGCAGCTTTGGGGACGTTGGCGCTCCCCCATCTCGGCAGCTCGGGGGCCCTGGCTGCAGGACGCACCCTCCGGTCATGCTTTCCTTCCACTCTACTCAGATCCCTGAGCTCCTGGGATGCTCTCCCCGTGAGCCCCAGACCCATGCAGCAGCCCGAGCTTTCAGCACACCACCCTGTGCACTGCAGTGCTGGGGATCACCCACGGGGCTGCCAGTCACCCAGGGCTGGCTGCTGCCCTGCAGAGGTGCCTCGTGCCCTCAGACTTGCCCATTCTGTCTGCTCCAGTCTGCTGAATCTGCTGAAGGTGGAGATGAGAAGCTTCTCCCAGACACCCCCATTCCTGGAGCTGTCAGGTCCCAGTGGGTGCCAGCAGCCCCACATCCCAGCAGGGTCCATGGGGGCCACCCTATTCCCCAACCACTCCCCGGACCATCCCACGGTCCACGCTCCGAGGCAAATGGAGCTGTGAAGAGACACCGGGGCAGTGATGAAGAGGGGGGGGGAGGCCACAGCCTGAGCGCCCTGCCTGCCCTCAGGCACCCCCTCCTCACGGCCTTCCCTAGCAACCAGCAGGGTGGGTTTCGGGGTGCCTTTGCTGAATTTGCCAAGAAGCTGACTCATGGCCGAGTTGGTGAGAGACACTGGCTTGCCATTAGTCTCGCCAGTCCCACCTGTGTGTCCCTCTGCCATAGCACATGCATTGCTGTTTAAAACCAGGATGCTGAATGGCCAGGTCTGGGCATGACCTCGAGGGTCCGACCTTGAGCAGTGCACGCACACCTGCCCAGAACTGTCCCCACTCTGCCCCTAAAGTGGACCTGGGTGCTCAGGGTATTTGGAGAGTTAAATGGGACCAAATCAAACCCTTCTTCCCTCCTGCTCCCCACACCCTCCGTCTGCTCCTCCTCTAGGAGGATGGTTGCAACCCTTCCCCAAGAGGTGGGGCGGCCGTCGCAGGGGGGAGGCCGCCCTGCTCTGGGGAGCCTTGCGTGTCCTGTCTCAGTGGAGCGTGGCCGGGGGAGGCCGGCTGACGGTTTCTGGGAGAACCAGGCTGATTGGCACCCACACCTGGCTCCACAGAGCACAGCCCTGGTTGGCAGATCCGCCAGGTGCCAGTCTGGACCCTCCAGGACAGGTTCAGGCCTCCAGCCTGCCATCAAGGGAGGCAGCAGCAGCGAGTAGAGCCCTGCCACACAGACCACGGATGAGCAGCCTCGGATGCGGGCCAGCACATGAGTGGCTGAGGGGAAGGGCCATGCGTCCCTGCTGCGGGCACAGGGTGACGGCTGTCTCTGTACCCCTGCTTTAACCCCGGCTGTCTCAGCCGCCTCACAAGTTCCTGAAACGTAAAGCAGATGTGGGGCTGGACAAGACAGGCCAGGCCTGATCTGCCCCAGGAGACCTGGGGTGGCCCCAGGAGGGGACTTGCTGCTCCAAGCCCGAGAGGGAGGGTGATGCTGCAGCCTTAGCTTCTGCCAAGGAAGGAGGCCCTGGGCCCAGGATGCACCTGCTCCCGTTTCTCTCTCCTTCCCCGCAACGGGAGAGCTGCACTTCCGCCATGTCCAGCCTCCAGCCTCCAGGTGGGCTCAGGCACGAGGAGACATGGGAGGATGTGGAGGATGGGGAAAGGAGCCGGGTGCTCCTGTCCCTGACGCAGAGGCTGACTGAGCAGGGTCTCTCCTTGGCTGGCCCTAGAGGAGACCCCGTGTCCTGGGCCCTGACAGTGCCACCTTTGACCTCCCTTGGACCCAGCAGGGGGCAGCAGTGAGCAACAGGGGGCAACGGGGCAGCAGTGAGCAGCAGGGGGCAGCAGGGAGCAGTGAGCAGCAGGGAGCATCAAGGGACAACAGGGGGCAGCAGTGAGTAGGGAGCATCAAGGGGCAGCAGTGAGCATCAAGGAGTAGCAGGGGGCAACAGGGAGCAGCAGGGGGCAACAGCCAGCAGCAGCAGGGGGCAGCAGGGAGCAGTTGTGAGTAACTGGTAGGGACGCCTGTGGCTGCGTCTGTGAGGGGTGGGTGCTCTAGGATGGAAGCTGCCATCACCATACACCGATGTGCCCAAGCTGGCCAGTGGGGACCACGGCGTGGAGGCTGCAGCCCGGCTGAGCCACGGCAGTGTTGCCCTGTGGCGGTGCCCAGGGTGGTGCCCAGGGGAGGACGCTGCAAGGTGGCCTGGCTGGGCGGAAGCAGCTGTCTCTGCTCTCCTTCCGCCAGCTTGGAGACCCTGCTTGGCCCCATGGCCCCACAGAGACATTTCCAGTCTCTCTCCCTTGCAGCCCTCACCCCTGCCCCATATGCCAGCCAGGACTCCAGGGTCCCTGGGCTGGCAGATCCCCCTGGATGGCGACACCCCGGCTCAGCCAGTCCCACAGAGGCACCTGGACAGCACAGCGGGATGGGCACTGTGGCCCATGAACTTCATTTATGAAACTGGGCCCTGAGGATGGCAGGGCGCCGCCAGGAGGGCCAGCTGGGCGGGCAGGGCCGGGCCAGCTCAGTGGGCAGCGGGCCAGAGAAGGCTCTGCGTCGGCTCTGCCGAGCGACAAGGCCAGCCCTCTCCACGCCTGGGTCTTGTCTAGACACCGTGCCACCCGTCTGTCCCCTCCCAGCAGACCAGGATGGCTGCTCTCTTGGTGACTTGGGCAGAGGGGGGGCCAGGACGGCCGCCTGCTCAGGACGGCTGTGGGCACCCGGCTCGCACGCTGCACGGTGGGCCCAGCCTCGTGGGAGTACCCAGGGCCTTGGCACATGCAGAGGAGGCACCTTCCTAGCAGCCCCGACAGGAGACGCCGTAGAAAAGGCACGTGGTTCGTGGTGGCGCTGAGTCCTCAGGCTCCTCCCTCCGGAAGTCACTGGCTCTGAGAGTCCTTCCCCTGACCGGCCAGTGCGTGGGCGCCAGGCTCCACAGACAGCCTGCCCCGTGGTGCAGGACTGCTCTTGGTCCGTGGGTGGCTGGCTCAGTGGCCCGCCTGAGTCCCAGGTCTCCTCTGGTGGAGCTCAGTGCCGCCCGGGCCGGATCCAGTTTCTGATCATCCACTTCTGCCCCGAGCACCTCTGCAGTACCAGCCGCAGCCCAAAGCTGGCACCCTTCGACAGCTCCAGTTCCAGGCACCGGCCCGTGTCCCGGCTCACGATGGGGCCACTCTGCAGTGCAGGACCCGGTCAGCCGGGGCCTGTCCCCTGAGGGGCCCCCGGGCGAGGGCCGAGCCCCAGCTGGTCACTGCATGCCACCACTTAGGCCTTGGTCCAGTCTCCCCACTGCCTCTCTGTCCCCACCCCAGCCTGCCCTCTCTGTAGTCTCTGGGATCCAAAGAGGTTCTGGGACAAGGTGTCCTGGGCCCAAGACCAGCCTTTCCTCTGGCACCCCTGGGCTGCTCAGTCACCTCCAGGTGCCCATGCTGCTGACCCCAGGCTCCCACATGCTGGCCCTCACCATCCCTGCACCAGCTCCCAGCCCCCAGGACCTTTGACCCTACTGGCTCAGCAAGTGACAGCGACAGTGACAGTCATGGCTGTCCCCCTTGAGCACCTGACAGGCTGGCCAATGATCCCAGGGTCTCGGCACCCCCGCCCCACTGACCTGGGTGAAGTCCCACAGTCGCTGCGTGGGCCTGGCCACGTCCTCGCACTTCCTCAGGGTGGGCGTGCGGCCCCCGCTGTCTACCAGACACCTGGAGTCGGGCAGGAAGGCCGTGGACCCCAGGGGCCCCAGCTGCAGGAGGCCCTCGGCACTGTACCTCACCAGCTGTGGAGGACGGCGGCTCAGCGGGCGGGCCACAGGGCAGGGAGCACGTGGGCCGGCCGTCTGCTGCCCCTCGCACCACACACCACACACGTGACCAGGCCGTGAAAGTGTCCCCGGCCTCCCTGCCCACCTGCTACACACAGGCCGCAGTGCGATGATGGCTTGTCACACGGGGAGGGCACCCTGTCAGCATGGACCCCCCCATGGGGCGCTCAGAGGCCCGGATGAGACGCGGCCTCTCGCCCTGGCTGGTGGGCAGGTGGGCCTGGGGTCTGGACGTGTGTGGACAGGCCAGCGTGTGGCTTTCTGTGGGGGGCATCAGGTGCCACGTGGTGGGCTCTCCTCCAGTGGCCGGAGGTGACTGCCCAGGGGCCGCCAGCAGAGTCAGCAGAGCCAGTGGGGCTCAGAGCACAGGAGGGCGCGTGCCCACCCCTCGCAGGCGCGAACTGGCCAGCAGCTCTCAGGCTCGAGGCAGGGCTTCCAGTGGCTTCCTCCCAGGCACTCAGGGCAGAGTCCGCTGCCTTCCAGGTGGGCTGGAGGATGCCCTGGCTCACAGCTGTGCCAGTCGGGTGTTTTGCTGGCCCGCTGTGTGCCCTGCCCATGGTCCCCCACAGCTGTGCCAGTCGGGTGTTCTGCCGGCCCGCTGTGTGCCCTGCCCATGGTCCCCCACAGCTGTGCCAGTCGGGTGTTCTGCCGGCCCGCTGTGTGCCCTGCCCATGGTCCCCCACAGCTGTGCCAGTCGGGTGTTCTGCCGGCCCGCTGTGTGCCCTGCCCATGGTCCCCCACAGCTGTGCCAGTCGGGTGTTCTGCCGGCCCGCTGTGTGCCCTGCCCATGGTCCCCCACAGCTGTGCCAGTCGGGTGTTCTGCCGGCCCGCTGTGTGCCCTGCCCATGGTCCCCCACAGCTGTGCCAGTCGGGTGTTCTGCCGGCCCGCTGTGTGCCCTGCCCATGGTCCCCCACAGCTGTGCCAGTCGGGTGTTCTGCCGGCCCGCTGTGTGCCCTGCCCATGGTCCCCCACAGCTGTGCCAGTCGGGTGTTCTGCCGGCCCGCTGTGTGCCCTGCCCATGGTCCCCCACAGCTGTGCCAGTCGGGTGTTCTGCCGGCCCGCTGTGTGCCCTGCCCATGGTCCCCCACAGCTGTGCCAGTCGGGTGTTCTGCCGGCCCGCTGTGTGCCCTGCCCATGGTCCCCCACAGCTGTGCCAGTCGGGTGTTCTGCCGGCCCGCTGTGTGCCCTGCCCATGGTCCCCCACAGCTGTGCCAGTCGGGTGTTCTGCCGGCCCGCTGTGTGCCCTGCCCATGGTCCCCCACCCGCGGCAGCAAGGGCCAAGGTGGCCCGGCCCTGCCTCCCTGCCCTGCGGTCCCCTGCCCGCCTTGGCTGCTCTACCTGGGAGGACATCCCGTGACAGGGGTAGAGGATGGCTTGGTCATCGTCCTCAGCTCCCTGGTCCAGGCAGTAGCCACTGGCCTTGCTGTTCCTCACCTGTAGCCAGAGCGACGGCGGGACACCCTGGGTCACGGGGCTCGAGGCCAAGGCTGGGCGGGGCTTCACCCACTTGGCCCCTACTCAGGGCAGGGTGAGACTGACGCAGGGACGTCCTCCCCGGGGTGCGACCCACTGGGGCTCGGGTCACCCAGGGACAGGGGGCGGGGAGGGGCATGTATGTGCATGTGTGCACATCACATGCATGCATGGGCGTGTGTGTGTATGTGCAGAGGTGTGCAGGGTGGGAGTGTGTGTGCCCGCGGATCTACATGTGTACACACACGGGTGCACACATGTGTGCACATACACGTGAGTGCTGGTGCATGTGTGTACACAGACCGTGTTTACGTGTGCGTGTTCATGCCGCGGCAGATAACACGTGCACACCGACCGTGTTTATGTGTGTGTGCTTGTGCCGCGGCAGATACACGCATGTGCACGTCTGTGTCTGCGGGCTGCACGCTGGTGTGTGCTGTCCACGTGTGGCGGGGCTGCCGAGCCGGGCGGTACCTCTCCGTATGTGAGGGTGTCATTGTAGACCCTCATCTCCGGATACACATTGTCCAGGTACCACTTGAAGCTGCGGCACTTCAGTCTCCGGCGCAGGGCCAGCCTCTCGGACACGTCCCCGAAGTCCACGCCTGGGTTCTGGAGCAGCAGGGCAGTGAGTGTGGGCGGGGAGCCCCAGGCCCACAGTCCCACACGGGGCAGCCCAGCCTGCGTCCACACGGCTGGTCCCCCCGGGCCGCGCCCCGGGAGAAGCGGGCCCAG